GTTCAGCCTCCTAGAGTGCTAGGATTGCAGGTATGAGCCACTGGGCCCAGACTTTCCTTTTGTTCTAGAAGTGGAAGTTGAGGTCATTGATTTGAAACATTTATTCCTTTCTTTTCATTATATAGGCATTTGCATAAATTGCCCTATGAAAACTTAGTGGACATCCACAGACTGTTAATATATTATATTTCCATTTTAATACAGTTCAAAATACTTGCCAATTTCCATTTTGTTGTATCCTTTGATTGATGGGTTAGTTAGGAGTGTGTTACTTAGTGTTCAGATACTTGGGGGTTTTCCAGATTTTCATTATGGTCAGAGAAATAACTTTATATTACTTGAATTTGGTTAAATTAACTGAGACTTGCTTCATAGCTAGATTATAGACTTTTTTGGTTACTATATTGTGCACTTGAAAAAAATGTTTTCTGCTGTGGTTGACTGCATTGTTCTATAAATGTCAACTAGATCAAGTCGGTTGATAATTTTCATTCCAGTCCTCTGGATCCTTTCTATTTTACTTGTTCCATTAATTAATGAAACACTTGTAGATTTTTCTCTTTCTCCTTGAAGTTCTATCAGCATTCATGTCATGTATTTTGAAGTTGTGTCATTAGGTGAACAAATATTTAGAATTGTCATGTTCTCTTGATCAATTAACCCCTTAAACCTTATGAAATGAGCCTCTTTATCCCTGGTAATATTCTTTTCAATAAAGTCTACTTTGTCTGATATTAATATAGCCATTCTAGCTTTCTTTGGATTAGTTTAATCATTGCACATATTCCTTTAATGCATACAAAAATATATACACTGATAAAACTAATACAAAGCAAGCTTTTATATTTAAAGTGGGTTACTCATAGGTAGCATATTGCTTTTTTATGTAAACAACAACATCTGACTTGCAAATAGATTGTTTTGATTATTTATATTTATTGTTATTATAGAGGTGTTTTTAAATATACCATCTTTCAATTAGTTTTCTATTTCTATTCTTCGTTCTCCTTTCCCTTATTACCTATCCTTTTTTGGATTAATTATTTTTATTTAATTTTATCTTTTTTGACTTGTTAGTCATAACTTTTTGTCATATTATTTTAGCACTTATTTCAGTTATGTGTCTTTAACTTATCGCAATCTATTTTCAGCTGATATTGTACCATTTGACAAACAATATAAAAATCTTTCTTCCAGGACTGTGCCCGTAGCTCAGTGGGTAGGGCACTGGCCACATGGCTGGCAGGTTCAAATCTGGCCCCAGCCCACTGAACAACAATGACAACTGCAATAACAACAACAACAAAAATAGCTGGGTGTTGTGGCAGGCACCTGTAGTCCCAGCTACTTGGGAGGCTGAGGCAAGAGAATCACTTAAGTCCAGGAGGTTGAGGTTACTATGAGCTGTGATGCTATGGGCACTCTACCAAGGGTGATATAGTGAGACTCTGTCTCAAAAAAAAAAATCTTTCTTCCTCTTCTATTGGCATTTGTACTATTTCTAGGCTTGCAGTTATTTCTACATGTTATTATCGCCATAATATATTATCACTATTGCTCTAAACAATCAATTATCTATGAATAGATTTAAATAATAATTAATAACATTTTTATATTACCTATGAAGTTATCATTCCCAGGGCTCTGTATTTCTGACTGGTTTCATTTTTCTCCTGCCTGAGAACTTCCTTTAACATTGCTTATTGTGGATATCTGTTGGTGATGAATTCTTTCAGCTTCTAACTATCTAAGGCCTTTACTTTTTCTTAATTTTTAAAAAATACTATATTTTTATTGGAAAAATATTTCTATATTAACAGGATTTTTTTCCTCCCTTTTAGTATTTAAAAAATGATCTTCCACTGTCTTCTCATATTCATTGTTATCAACAAGAAATCTGCTGCCAGTCTTATCTTTTGTTCTTCTTGTACACAATGTGTCTTTTGTCTTTTCCTATTTTAAAGAGTTTCTCTATCACAAATTTTAAGTAATTCTATTATAATTCACATTGGTTTTGTTTATTCATGTTTCTTGTGCTTAGAATTTGTTAAACATCTGGTTATAGATCTTATAGAATTTAGAAATTTTTCAGACACTATTTCTTCCACTATTTTTATATTCCCTGCTTCAGACCTTCAGAGACTCTAAACACTCAGAAATTACATCATATGAAGTTTTTTCTTATATCAATAATGCTCTGTTCTTTTCTTTTCCCAGTATGTTTTTCTCTTTGGCTTCTATTGTGAATAGTTTTGTTGTCTTTTCAAGTTCTCTAAAATTTTCTTCTACATTTTCTAATTTGCCAATAGCCATGCTCAGTATATTTTTCATCTCATACATTGTAGTTTTCATATATAGAAATTTGATTTGTGTCTTCTGGTGTTTTCCATGTTTTCACTTAACATATTCAATCTTTCGTCTAGCTCTTTAATATATGGAATATAGTTAACATAACTGTTTTTAATGTCCTGTCCAGTAATTCTATCATCTGTGTCATTTCCCAGTCATTTACAATTGATTTAATTTTTTCTTATTTTAAATGAGCTGAAGCATCCCTAGCTCCACATTACATGGTTTGGCATTGACATTTGCATTGTAAGTTCTTGCCTGATGTGTCTCTAGTTAACAGCACTGATTCTGCTCCAGAAATGTTGTTACTCACTCCCCATCTAGCCGCACACATCAAACTATAATTTGCTTTAGGGTTGTCTGTCCCTCTTTAGGAACTATGTATTTAGGTCCCTACTAGCCCTGGCCAATTTTCATGATGCCAAGCTACTGCATTCTTTTCCTGTGTGCCTTATTTTCTCAATTGGTATACCCCACTCATCCACTGAGGTATTTGCTACCACACTTGACACTCACTGGCTTGACTAAACTTTTACCTATGACCTGTGTAGCACTGTGACTAAAAGTTGGTTTGTAGTCCTGCCCAAACACTTAGTATTATGAACCTAGCAAGTAATTAATTTCTCTATACCTCAATTTCATCACCTGTAAAGATAATAATGATAGTTACCTTATCAGGTTATTCTGAGGATTAAATGTGACAATACAATATATAGAAATTAGAATAGTGTCTGGCTCACAAGTTTTTATTGTTGTTATTAGAGTAAGAGATACAGGATCTATAATTGGGAATCTGAAATATGTAGATCATATTCTTTTTTTTATTAAGTCATATACACATAGATCATGAGTACATTTATGCATATGTGGGGTACAATGTGTTTTTTTTATACAATCTGACATGCTTACATCAAACCACTAAACATAGCTTTTGCCTCATTTACTTGATTGTTGTGTTAAGACATTTATGTTCTACACTTGACAGATTTGATTTGTACCCTTGCAATATGCTCCATAGGTGTGGTCCCATCATTTATGTAGATCATATTCTTAATAATTATACAATAGTCTTTTTTCTGTTGGACAGTCTGCTTTACATGTTATAGAAAATTTTATTTTTGTATTTATGGCTGGATCAGCTTCTCTGATGCCTAAGTACCAAGTTCTGGTTTCAACCTTAAGCAAATCCTAACTGCTAAGATTCTTTCTAAGTTCTGAAGTAAAATGGACTGTGTTTTGGTCAACACTAGATGAAATCAAAAGATCAATGACCAAAAAAAAAAA